AACATTTATCTTACGCATTATTATCTCCCTTAACTTCTATTTTCTTCCTCTGTTCTCACAAATAGTAGCAGTGGTTGAATCGTCTTTAGCCTTTCCTGTCTATCCAGAAAGATGCCCCATCTAATAATATTCACACATGCCCTCTTTCCTCCCATCCAAACTTTAGAAAATAAACAAGACAACCTCACTGAAAGAGGAGGCCGACTATTGGGGTCAGAAGGGAAAGATGATACTTTTACATATTGGCAATCTAGGTGTTGGACACAGAATCCAAATGGAACAGACCTCCGGTAAAGGTGCCTCTGAAGACGTGTGCTGTGCACGTGGTGTCTCAGCATCACCTGCCCCCGCCCACCAGGCACCTGCGAACTGGAACCAAAGCACAGTTAGCTTTGCATATGCCCATGTAAATATGTCAGAAGTCTAGTGTAGGAGATGGAGAACTAGTCTCGTTGGATTATGATAATTACAGCCTGTCCATATTACCCCTTCTTGTGGGACCCAGATACTTGGGTAATTCGTCATTGTCTCTAGTTCCTCCACCACCACACCTCTGAGAATGCTTAGCTCAACCCTTGGTCCCAGCTTTGTCACCTCAAAAATTGGCTCTATACTAAGTCCTTATTTCCTTTCCATGCTCTACCTCCCTTTATATAGACTTGCACTGGCCCCTGATTAATACTCCAACATCTGACTCCATACTCTCATGTGAAATCCCATTTTTGCTCTTCTTTCCCCCTCAAAAAATGGTCCACATTCTTCACTTATTTACTTTAAATTTTTAGTTAACCCACTCTAATTAGGCTTTCAATACTCAGAGATCTGTTTTACCTTTCTTCTTAGAAGACTTCCATCATTTCAGTCTCATCTCAGGTACCCCTTCTTCTAAGAGGTATTCTCTTTTTACCACATTTAAAGTAGTCTTCCCATTATATTACCTTGTCTATTATCTTCATAGAATCTATCACAATTTAAAAGTATATTATTTGTATAATTTATCTATTATACTTATTTTGTTATTCGTATATTAGTGTATTTAGTATTACATATAATTTTATGTCATTGTACTTATCTATTATATCATTGTATTTATTATCATCTTCAGAGTATGTTACAATTTGATATGTTTTCTATTTCTTGACTGTGTTTTCTCAAATATGTAAAATTCATGAGTGGAATCATATTAAACTCTCCCTGCACATAGTTGTCACTAAATACATATTTTGTCAAGGGAAGACCCACTTCTGCCTAGACTCTCAATTACTATGCCCTACTCTGAATATTTATATAAAATAAATAATGATGCTAGTTACATTGGAGTAACTGGTACGTTTCTTTGGCCTTAGTATTTGGTACTATCACCTCCTCCTGTGAGGCAAGGGGGAAATAGCCAATGTTCTCGGCTACTCTAGTTAATATCTCTGACATTCCCTCCAGCTCAGTAGACTTCACCAGAATTTCCCAAGATCATTCCAGAACATTTCATTCTCTTCTAGTCTTTATTTGCTATGTTATTAAATTTACTGAACAAAATAGCCCTTCCTGAAAACCAGATTTCCCATATCTTCAGAGAAAGATGAATTTACAAGGTTTAATTCTATTTGCCCGGGCATGTCTCATATAACCATGTAACATACTGGAAATATTATTCACATTATCAGGGTATTGAAAGTATGTTTCTTCATAAAGAAACTGCAATGTCCACATTTAAATCAGCCTTTATATGAATGACAATGGGTTATAAGTAAGTCAGATTGCCTTATTGTGAATAATACTCATCTAGATCCAAGGAGGTGAAGACTTCCTTGCTATTAAATAAGAAAAACTGTATTTTAGAAGTTATTTGACTGTAATGAATGCTCTGTCCGTATGAAATATGGTATGAAATAGAATTGCAAAAGTAAGATGCAGAAAGTAGTAATTACTTTAAGTACCCAGGAGGAGTGTGCACAACCTTGAACACCAAAGGAATTTCAAAGAAAGGTTCTTAAGGGTGTTGAATTCATACTGCAGATGGAGAGAGAGAGGACTGAGCCAGGGAGCTAGCTCACTACAAGGTATTTTCTCTCAGGAAATTGTGGTCACCTCTCTCTCTCTCAGGACACCTACTTAGTGTTCTGAGAAAATTAGTATCTCTGCAATTGTGGATTTTTTGATAGATTTCTTTAGAATGACAATAGCACTTGGTGAAACAATGCTCTATATTATAAAAATCTCCTAATGCCAAGGCACCAAGATATTTTAGAATATGCTCAATACTTGAACATGGATCAACATTTTACATCTTAGGCAAAGGTTGTAAAAGTTTCAAATTTAGGATCATTTCCTTATTTTATTTTATTTATTTTTTTAAAAAATAAAATAAATACAAAAAATAAAAAAAATAAATAGGATCATTTCCTTAATCTCTTAAGAGTTGTATGTTGTTACTCTTTGCTGGTAGTATCACTGCACCATAACACCGACTACAACCTTTTGTGATCTTGAAAAAAATCTGTGAGATTTAAGAAATAAAGAGCTTTTTAAAGAAAACTTTTTGCAATTTACATGCTCTAAAGTATTTTGTGCTGAAGAAGGTATATAAAGTAATAATGCTAAATTTATCTTTAAGATGAGGTAATAAAATTCATCAAATAACAAAATATTTAATGTTTTCTTGACAACCTTTTCTCTTAGCCTTTTGTTATACAATTAGATCTTTATAATTGTTAGAGGCATTTGATATGTTTTCCAGATCTCTTGGTTTTCAATAAAAATTGAAAATAAAAACCTATTGCTGAAAGAGCCTTTTCTCTGTAATTTGTGTTTGTTTTATTTCAGAGACCTAATACATTTTTATTTCTCTTCAAATTCACACTAATCTCCACTTTATGTCTACATAGAATTTTGAGAAATAGAGGATTGTAGGAAGGAAGTGTACTTTACTATGGGATTAGAGGCAATGCATGATTGACATAACCCCAATTTGATATGTCATTTTTCAGAGACCAACTCAAGAAGGGAAGTTCTCCCTGCTAGTCAGGTACATGCAGGTTTCTACTCTCCTGTACCCATGTTCCTTGTTCTTTACTTTCATTGTGATGGTCCCTACAGTTACTCTTTTTTCTTCTTCATATAATCTATTGTCTATTCTGTAATCACAGCCACTGCCAGAACTATGCGATTTTCAATAAAAATCTTCAGGCAAAGAAAATCCCAGTGGCATGTTGTTACCTACTATACCACTTATGTTACACAGCAGTTCATAGGTTACACATCTCCCCTGCAAATTTCATCTAATTAAGAACTAAACCTGTTTGGTTAGTTTCAAGGAAACATTAAATGTTAACTTGAATAGTAGGAATGATAATAAAAATGAGTCCATTCTTTATATTATGAAAGAATTTGTTCTTGATCACCTAAAATTATTATTAGCACCTCTAATTAAAGTTATGATTTAATGTATATAATTATTTTTATTATGTAATTTAATTATAAAAATTGAAAACAATATTTAATATTGCATTAATACAATTTGAAGTTATAGTTCTAAAATTTAAAAAAATGGGAAAAGCCAAATAAGAACTTGTGTTCTTTGCATTTTTCAATATACAATTCAAAATTTTATCTAGAGTAGGTTTGGGTGAATAAAAACCATAACTTAATAATTTTATTGTACATATTCTACATTACTGGTCAGGTTGTTTTAATTCTTTTTTGTTTTATTTTGATATAATTTATTTATTATTATTTTGTTGGTATATTACTTAGTTGACATGCACAAGAAAAGATGTCTGAGAAAAACCTAAAGAGAAAAGAAAATGAAATTTATTCTTCTATAAAAAAATCATTTTATTAAAACTAAAATTTTCATCCTTTAGGTAATAAATGTGTTATTCTGAAAATTTTATACCATATACCATATATATATAAATTTTACTTTTTTCATATTTCTGGGTTGTATCAAACAGTAAACAAGTGTATTTTCTTTGTGAAAGAAGTAATTTAGATCCAAAATCGATATATTACCCCTTTTCCAAAACTTACTTTTGCTTATATCATTATATTATATTGTAGCAGCAGTTTTCAACCCTTTCCCATCTCATGGCACACTGAACTAATTACTAAAATTCTGCAGCATGCCAAAAAACTATTTTTTGCCAATCAGACAAAAATAATTGGTATAATTTTTATTCATTAAACACTATATAGCTATTGTGTTTGATGTTGCTCTTTTTTTATTTGACCATCTAAGGGAAGAGAGGTCAGTGCCCCTGACTAAATAGTCAGGTATTGCATGTTTTAAAAAAAAATTTAGCACCATTTGAAAACCGCTGCATTTTAGGGTATTATGGCATATCATTTCATTCTTTCAGAGTTCAGTTTCATCCTGATAACTCATTGAAATATAACTAAAATAAATAACCAACAAAGTTCTAAAGAAAAGTTTTCATTAAATAACTATACTATATAATTCCAAATAAAAGCATATCTTCTTTCCATAAGTTCTTGCGAAAGCACTGTTGTTTTATTAAATCACATACACTGAGCTACTTGTATTCTGCACTTTTAGATAAAGGCATACCAGTACCTTGCCATACCATGGTCTCTGTCTGCCCTAAAGAATATTTTTATTTATTTTTTATTCCAAGGATATTTTGAGTGTTTATAGAGATGTTGGGTTTTGGACAACTGGAAGTAGAATTGAGTATCTTCAGAGACTCCTGAGAGGAAAGGCTACTGTTAGGGTTAGATAAACCTGACTGAAAATAATATATATCCTAGAGACATAAGAATAATTAAATAGCTCTAAAGGGCTACATTGATGATAATGAGTTGAGGGGATTTATAACATCTGGACCACATTTAATTAAATGAATTAGTAACTTATTTTGATTACATAGCAATAATGATGAGAGCGCTCACTACCTATTATTCTTAGGTATTTTGTGTCTTTTGGTTAAAAAAACAAAACAATGGTTTTAATTTTGAATGCTTTTCTTTTTCTTTTTGCTCTCCAGATGACACGAGAACAATACATATTAGCAACACAACAGAATAACCTGCCAAAGGCTGAGAATGCACACCTGTACCCTGTGGGCATTTATGGATGGCGAAAGAGGTGCTTATACTTCTTTGTCCTTCTGCTGTTGGTTACCATGATAGTTAACTTAGCCATGACAATTTGGATATTGAAAGTTATGAATTTCACTGTGGTAAGTACCACCATGATTTTATTTTACATCTATTGCTTTTGGTTCAAAGACCATACAACTCTTATTTTTTAATTGAAAGTTATTCACTTTAATCTTTACATGTATCTATATTGAAATTCCAAAGGCTGTCATATATAGTTTTCAGACTACTTTCAATATGTGTATTCACGAAATACATCTGGCATTACTACCTGCCGTTTAAGTGTGGGAAATTTACGTAACCAGACAGTACAGCACATAGATTCATTAGAAATTTATAAAACTTTTAACCAATACACAGGAACTATTGCTTGCTCTACCTGGGCATCTATGAAATGAGTCTGATATTTCATGATAATATTAGATGATATTTCACAATAATACTAACATCAGAAATCACAAGTACCTTTGAGATACTTCATATAGAATATTTGCCTCTCTATATATTGCATGTTCAAACCTAAACTTTGGAATTTTGCCTGGGCTGCATGAACCAATGTCTATAATTGTTGTGAGATGGTAACTTCATTTTTTAAGTATGGGTATGATAAATAAAAGACAAACCAGAAGTTAAATCAATTTTTATGAAGATTAATAACCTAAAATAAAATAATTTTATAATTCATTGATGAGTTTAGAATATGTACAATAGACCTATTAGCATGACTTATCTGGAAAAATTAGCTGCATCAGCAAAGTCTAGCTTAGTTCAATTTATATTTTCTGGCTAAATTCTTAAATTTCTCTACTCTGCCCTTAAACCTTTTGGCCTTTTACTTAGAGACCACAGATACCTTCCCAGCCAGGCAGGGGTCTTTCACTTGCTGACCAGACTGCTATTGTTCTTTAGAACTCTGCGCCCTCAGGGCAAGAGGAAAGCTTGTATTTAACTTCACTGATCTTCCTATATTGAATGTCATTTTTTAAAAAATGAGAAAACAAAACCTCTGCTGTGTATTGACTTAATAAGAGTAATTTCTTCCTAACCTCACTAACATCTAGCTAGAAGTCAAAACAGAATCTCAAAGGGCAAAATGAGCCAGCATCTGTCCATGGCATAGGGCACCGCGGTTGGATGCAGAAAGAGCCTTCGAGGGCAGGTGGCCTCCCCTTCAAGAGAGAAAACAGCCACACCTGTGCAAATCATGAGAAAGCAGCACATGCTCATAGAGGAGAATCAGCTGAGCAAGGGCTCCATCTTATTCAAAACAGTGCACACCTGGGAGTTCATCAAAAACGGAATGGAAGACACAACAGGATGGGCAGGAATCAGTATGTTCTAGGATTTGAGAAATTACCGGTATCCTAGACATGGATACATGTTCAGGGTCATTGATCCAGGCCTAAGCCTGTGGGTGCCTAGAGATGGATGTGAGGGTCAGTAGACCAGTCGTTGCTTTCTGAGAGTCCGGTAATACATCTGAGCCGTTCCTTCATCTCCAGAGTTGGTTCAGTCAGTCCTGTCCTCTCCTCTTCCCCTACACACGCTTGGAGATATTTTGGCACAAAGGTTACTAATGCTACCCCTAGACATTCTGTTCCTCTGAGCTCTGGGCCTATCTACTCTCAGTAGTGTCTGGGTTTCATTAGTGAATCATTTATCACATGAGTAGGGGCAATGTGTTTATTTCTGCAGATTCTTCTATGCTGTGGTAACCATCAGTCAAACTTGCAATGGCTGACAGCAGCTTCCTCAACCTCATTATCTTAACCAAAAAAAAAAAAAATAAGATCAATAAGAGATAAGAGTAGCTTTTTCTCCAGGTTTTGAAATTTTGAGCCTTCAGTTTCTTCTACCAAGAAGCATCTTTCAAAAAGATGTGATCAACTCTCACCTCAGGGGCTTAGATCCCACTCGGGGACCAGGCCACAGGATTATTCAGAGTCAAGCCATGTAAGCTTCTCAAGCATATTTAAATTAATTAGGAAAATAGACTTAAATGCATAATTACATGGCTGCATGCATCGGGCTCCCAATGTCTTGCCCCATGCTGAGGCCAAGGCTAGATAAGCCATTCAAAGAAAATAATTGAAACAATCACCTTTGTCCTCAGGATCCACGCAGGCCTCGGGGTGTCTGTCTCATATGGAGCTATCTAATTTGAACCTCAGCTGGCAGAAGAGTAAATGTCATCATATTCCGGGGGATAATGAAAAGGAATCTATTTCCATAGGGGGCTTGATATTTGTACATATAATTTTTAATTTGGGGCATATATTACTTATTTTGAAATTAAAATTTTACTGTTTTATACACAAAATGGAAGACTACCCTTCCTTCACCCATATCAGCTATTTGTATGCAGCTAAAATAAAAGGAGAGATGAACTTGTAATGACTGCATCAAGTTAATCTTTGTAAGGTAACATGTTCCCTGTCTCAATGCAGTAATTCATAATTCAGAGAAATTCAAAATTATGCAAGTAGTAGCTGAATTTAGTGGTCCTGAATACTACACATTAGATTAAGTTGTATGTACTCGAAAAGCGAGAAATAATTTGTAATCCTCTTATATGAGAGCAGTAAAAAAAAAATCAATTTTATGTTTTCCCTGTTATATTACAATTGTATCTATCTCTAGAGTGAATACCAAAACCACTTACCACAATATAGTAAGAAGCAGTAAATGATGTGTAAGTTGTCTGGAGATTATTATTGATCTGCACAAATGTGTATCTTTTTTATTTTAACTATTGCCATCCAACACATAAAAAATATCTAGCTGTGAACATCTTTTATTTGAAGAAACTAGGCATGTTATTGTTATCAAAATATTGTGTTTTCAGCACAACAAAGGTAGCTGCCAACCTGTTTTACGATACTTCATGGAGTCTATCAGCATGGCCAGTATTGTGCATGATCTGTATGGTTGATGTGATTTTATTCTGTTTCTCATTTTGTGGGAAACAGAATAAAATCACTTTGCTATTGAGATGTTCAACTGCACAGAATGAAGAAAAAGGAAATGAGTTTATACTATAGAACAGTGATGGCAAACCTTTTGAGCTCGGCGTGTCAGCATTTTGAAAAACCCTAAATTAACTCTGGTGCCGTGTCACATATAGAAATTTTTTCATATTTGCAACCATAGTAAAACAAAGATTTATATTTTTGATATTTATTTTATATATTTAAATGCCATTTAACAAAGAAAAATCAACCAAAAAAATGAGTTCGCGTGTCACCTCTGACACGCGTATCATAGGTTTGCCATCACTGCTATAGAGTGAAAGAGATGGATATAAACGCTCGACCAGTGTGGCTCAGTGGTTGAGCATCGACCTATGAACCAAAGGTCATGGTTTGATGCCTGGTCAGGGCACATACCCAGGTTGCAGGCTCAATACCTGGTGGGAGGCATGCAAGCGGCAGCTGACCCATGATTCTCTCTCATCATTGATGTTTCTATCTTTCTCTCCCTCTCCCTTTCTCTCTGAATAGTACAAACATATATTTTTTTAAAAAGTATGGATTCTGGCACCTGATCATTGGGTCCACATCTAGCTTTCGTAGTTTATTAGCTACGTTACCTAAGGCAAGTTATTTAAACTGTGGCTCTTTGCCACTCTGTAGAATGGGTGAAATTTTATTATTTATTTCATTAGATTGTTGTAGAAATCAAAATTAAAATAGTAAAAATTCTTTCGCTGTGTCTGGCATGTCCAAACAGCTATGTAAGAGTTTGTTACTATTACTCTTACTCATTTCCTATTTCAACTTCACAATTATCCCAGACATCATGTGAATTAACTTGAATTTTCTATTGAGCATAAACCATCCTAGACAGAAAAGGATGTGTATTTAGCAATAAATTATAAATAAATGAGAGCATTTGTAATCATGTTCATGCTAATGACATGTCTAAAGGTTAAAAGAATGAGTGTTGGAGCTGGGTAGCCAGAGGGCATTCTGGCTCAATGATGACCAGTGGCAACATGACCTCCTGTCAGATACTTAACCTCTCTAACTCCACCCACTTTCTTCACCTGTGAAATGGTTAAAGGCACTGACCCACAGAGCTATGAGAAGCACTAAGTACCTGAACATTTGTAAAAATTTTTAAAATTGAGTCACAGAGTAAGCCCTCAATTGGTGTCAGTTATGTGTATTGACATATATGCTTTCCATCCATTATTAGCTGTTAATAATTAAAGTTATTTTATACGATGTATTTTATCACAGGAAATGTATTATTCCCTAGGCATGACGAAAGGATCATTAAGATTCCTTTTGAAATTCTAATTTATGCTGAGATATAAAACAGTTCACCTAAAACTTCTAAGAGGAACAGTTCAGCTGTCAAAATCATCGTTATTTTAATGACCTAAGCCAGTGGTTGGCAAACTCATTAGTCGACAGAGCCAAATATCAATAGTACAACAGTTGAAATTTCTTTTGAGAGCCAAATTTTTTAAACTTAAACTATATAGGTAGGTACATTCAACTTTAAATTCAACTTTAAAATCACAGTTTTCTTCTTCCTTTTTTCTTTGCTTCTTCTTTGTAGTCATCTCAAATAGGGCACCTACAAAAATGTTTCATTTTATAATAATAAAGCCACCAACACAAAAGAATTACAATTCTTAAATTGACGACAAAAATACCTGTAGGATTTGCAGCTGGTTGGAAAAATACAGGTAACTTTATGCTTGGGTGACTTTTTGTCACCCACGCGCGATTTGCGGACACGACTAGCACTAACCACTGCGCAGAGTGGCTGGCTGACTGGCTCACTCAACTCAGGCATGAATCGCGCGCACCTCCCATGTGCTCTGCATATCCCGAGGCCCGCCTGCACCGCGTGGCCTGACCGACCGACCGACCGACACCCCCCACTTCTTCTAAGGCCACTTCTCCAAAATAGACTCTCCCAGGCCGAAAACCGACTTCTGCGCATGGGCCACGAAGTTTCAATCGCACTGTACGTGCGTGCCAGCCAGTGGTATTTTGTGGAAGAGCCACACTCAAGGGGCCAAAGAGCCGCATGTGGCTCGCGAGCTGCGGTTTGCCGACAACTGACC